GGCACATGGAAAAGCCTTCATAGGCAGACCATGTCCCAAAAGAACTGGAGAACTACTCTTAATGAATAGGAACCAGTTGAAAGTGATAACAGGGTTCATGACTGGGCACGCCCCAGTAAAGGGACACTTGAACAAAATTGGCATGTACAATGGGGAACTCATGTGCCGACTATGTCACAAGAAACCAGAAATGGCCAAACACATTGGTTAAATTCTACAATTTCACCAGTAAAAACATCAACAAATTAATATTTTACATCTACTAAATAAATAAACAATTCTGAAATAGTTCGACTGCTTTTTACCCTAATATAATGTGAAGTCATAAAACTATAAATAGCATTTTTCTCAGAATACCGAACGTCGAACACCTGTGTTTTCAAGTGCACAGCGGTGCATTGGAACAAAATGAGTGTCCGGCGCATAGTGAACGAAGCACAAATGACGTATTTCATTATGTCATGATGTTTTCATTGGTTGAAACCGAATAGGTGCGTGAACTATGCCCCGGACACTCATTTCGTCCCAACAGTATATATTAAGGTGCGCTCGACGCGAGCAATTCAGTTGTATGTTTGCCATCATTCAGTAGTTGTCTTATTGCCATCGAGTTCAGTTGTCTTTTTGCCATCATCGCTCACAGTTGTTTGCTATCCGAACGTTCAGGTGCTTTCTGCCGACGGCACGTTACTTTCTACATTTTTACAAGCGTTTAATGCAGTTTATTTTCTGGTGCAAGTTATATCTTCTACAATTATTATGGCATAAGAAATTCTACAAACAAATGTTTTCAAGTTGGTAACTAAAAAATCAACTGTATTAGTTAATCAAATTGTGATGAACTAAAATTGTAAATATTTAAAACTGTTTAGTGAAGATAAGAAAATTATTATATCTAAACGGAATCAACCACTACCTATGTATTTACTTCAGTGAAAATAGTGAATTAAAAACACTTCTTTTTCTACTACATATGACTCGTTAGTTATTTCTACAAAAGAACCCAATTCTTCTAACACCAGCGACATATGCTACAGAACATTTTTACCAAAGAAATATTCGGAAGTAACATCGGTATTTTTTCACACATACTGTGCGAATGCGAAGCTCTAGATCGCAAAAGACAGGCTCTTTTTGGACAACCCCAGGTAGATTCAACAACATATAGAACCCACTCACCCAAGGATCTGTACAAACTTGTACAAGGTACAAAGGTGATAGAGTGGGTGCTATAAACTAACATGGGGTAAAACACAATAAGCCAATAGGCTTCAGTGTTATTCGGAGACACATAGTCAGACGAGCCCAGGGGGAAAAATCTTTTACATCTGGTGTTAGGAATCGTTCTGCCTTAGAGGATTTTTTTAAGAGCACTCTGAATTGGTTTTTGAAATTGAAACTACTTTCCCAACGAAGTAACATGGTACATTTTTTCTTTTATATTCTACCAATATCCAGTCATTTACAATCGGTTTCTTAAGTTCAATCGAAGAATTTTCAGGTGGCACGTTTTCTTTGAAGTGTATCAATGGTATATCATCATCATCACTGCTACTGCTATTTGGTGATTGATCCCAGGAATTCGAGAATGTTGGCAAGTCATCGAAACTCTCGGGGCTATCGCCTCCTTCATCGGGTTCATATGGTACATCAGATTCGTCAGAAGAAGACGATGGTATCGCTGATTTCTTTATTTAAGTTTCAATTTTTGGAATCGCACTGGTTGAAGCAACAACATCAGTGGCTGACACACTCTTTCCGGACTCTATTGAAACTATCTTGCGTCTCTGTTTTTGTTGTGATGGTGCATTTCTTTCAAAATGTCAATCACAGCAGTAGACACAACATTATGTGTACCTTCGGCGTCTACTGCTTCAGGTTTAGGGGGAAGTTGTTACTTTGGCTCGACAGGATCGAATGGATGTAAACCAGTTTTACGGAAGCCCGAGATGAGATTTTCGGAGGCTTTGCCATTTTCATCCAATTTTTGACGGTTTATTTAGTAGCTGCGGAAATACATCTTTTGATAACGTAGACATTTTACGCCCTCCTGTTTTTTTTCCATTCGGTAAGTATCGCTCGCCAATACTTCTTTAGAGGAGCGTAGAATGCCACATCAAGGGGTTGTTAGGGGGTAGGCAAATAAAAAATATGTTAATTTCTTGACATGTTTGTAATACTTTTTGTGAAATATGTGAGGATAGGTTGTCGCCACTAAAATCTGCAATAAAAAAATTTGGATCATTATTAAAATAGCAACATCTTGAATCCCTAGATTATAAACAAACCTTAGCTCCATCCGTGTTTCTTAAATAAGGGACAACGATGCTATAAAATCAATCCACAAAGCAGACGGCATAAAATCAGCCTCTTCGAGACCGATTGTAATGCGCTCCTGCAGGTCCACCGTGAGTCCAACTATCCCACATATGATCTGCCTTGTAGACTACATATTCGGGTAAAAGTTGTCCATCTGCAGTTCCAGCATACATTATGCGTATGACAGTCTTCGTGGAGTTGACTACCCTTCCAGGGTACTTGGTGCCTCTCTTGAATATAAATTTTTTTGCCCCTGGGTTGTCAGTCAGATTGGTTTCGTCGAAATTTATTATTAGGGACGGGTCTGTGGTATTTAACATATCTCGGGCATTGTCAAAGAAAATGTCCAAATTTTGCCTATTTACCATGGCACGTTTGGTAGAGATATTCGCAGAAAATCGATTCGATATTGAGTTTTTATTTCTCTTCAAAAAGTTTGAAGCCCAATCTCGACCGGGTAGATTATTATCAAGCCTCCGTTCATTGCGGCCTTTTCTGTCAAGATAAGACTTGAGCAAAAGCGATTTCTAAGAACAATCCTTAACGCTGGTTACGACTGCCCTAGCAACGTCTTATACCGTAATAGTAGCATATTTGACATTAGACAATTTTATTCTATAAACACTGCAATGATTACATATAAACATAAAACAGAATTGCAAACTCTATGTCATAAATATGCTACTCGAAATAAAGGCGCGTACATTACCCCTTACATGCAAAAGGCAATCGGACAAAGACATTATTTATATTTAGGTCCAAAAATTTATAACTTGTTACCTCCCGATATTAAGGTGGAAACCAGGCTATTTGTATTTAAACAAAAAATAAAATATTATGTTCTTAATATGCCACAGGATGTTGTTCATGATATTATTGAACAATAAAAATGTAAAAAATATATATATATTATGTATAAATAATTTTTTTTGTCTTAAAAATATTTTTGTACAATTTATTTTACTATATTTATTTGTGAATGACCACTCACAAGTAGGCTTGACCTGCTTCGTGGTTTTTGTTTCTTGTTTATTTGTGCTTTGTATTTTTTAATATGTATCTTTTATATTTTCAAATAAACATTATTATTATTATAGTAATGTCAAACGGAAAGCCCCAGGAAGCAACCACGTTCAGATGTTCAACCAGCACTTTTTCTTCGTTTGTTAAAATGCAAGACCTTCCTGCTTTAGGAAAAGTGCTTTTTGTCTTAGCTCGTATTAAAGCTAGGGTAGACCTTTTGGCACCCTATATTTTTTAGAAGCCTTATCAAGGCTCAGACCATTATACTGAATATTATCACACGTATGGCGTTTTGGAAGGCTTCTTACGTATGGTTTCTGTACGGGGTATAGTTTTTACCATTTCGTGAATGTGTTTTTCGTGAAAGTTTTTACGTAAGTGTGAACCATTTTTATTTTAGGGACCAAAAGAGATTTTTCTCTGAGAACCTTGGCGTCGCACGCCATGATTACACATCGTTGCCAGATTACATAAGAAAAACACAATTTACCCCGCATTTATAAAATAACCCCCGCTATACATTGTTCTTGTTAAGCTAAACACTCAGTGGTGTAGCCAACCATTTTTCATGGGAGGGGTTTCTGAGAACTATGGGGGGGTTCCATCAAGAAAGGGAATAAAAACAAACAGTCAATAGGTCATCGCCATACTATAGCGGAAATGGTGACGCAAGGACCCTCCATGGGGGGTTTTGACCACCAACCCCCCCCCCCCCCCCCGTGGCTACGCCACTGCTAACGCTACACGACAAACATTGGCTCCATTATCGACTCGGTAGCTCAGTATGTTCGATGGTATATATTCAATTACGGGCCTTTCAGTTGGCTTAGCGAACCCGGCTTCGAATCCTATATCAGACCATGTGAATTTTTTAATTAATTTGCTTGGTTCGTTATAGAAATTGATGGCTGCTGTATTAGCAGTGTTGATATGGCGTGTTTCTCACCTGTAAGTCAAATGGCACCATCAATCATCCTTAAGTTGCCCTGGAGCGCCACGGCAAATAATAATAAAATCCGTCCCTTCCCACACAAAAGTTCAGTCGACTTCAGGGGTTAATTATTCACTGGTAATGGGGTGAATTAGGGAGAGTATTATTATTACTGCACCCAACGATTGTGCTAAAAAATTTAACAGGTTGTTGGCAAATGTTGCTGCTACATGGTGTGGCGAATGTTTGAAACAATTTGAAATGGATGCAATATTTTGTAACGCTGAGCAACTTCAAAAAGTATGTAGTCATTTGTATTGTCATGTGTATTTTTAGTACAATGTACACTACAGAACCTCTCGAACCAGTGTTTCTCAAACTTTTTTGGCGACGAAACCCTTTTGAAAAGCGAGATATTTGACGGAGCCCTAAAATAGATTTTATAAACTTAATATTGGTTTAGATAGGTTTTAATTTACCTTGGGGCATTTCAAAAAATCAATCCTCTCTTAGTGAAATCTAAAAAAAAAACCAGGTCCCCTTTTGAGACGAACTTCCTCATAGTGCTCCTTTAATATTTTTTATTATGACTATTATTTTCGCGGAGCCCCCACGGAGGCTTTGCGGAGCCCACGTACAGAAACATTGATCTAAACAATACACAAATATTTATATCATTTTTCTTTTCACAAATAGAAATTCATAGTATTTTAAATTAAAAACGAAAAAATTAAAAATGTCCTTTAATAGTTCAACAATAACTTCTAAAAAAGTACAAAAATTACGAACAACCCTATACCAAAAGATTATAATTAAAAATGAGGGAATTGAATATTAAATTTAATGTTCTTTAATATTTTAGACAGTGGAAACATCTATAAAAGTTTTTAACATATAAATTAAAAATCTACAACAAAAAACTAGATTGAGAAAAAGAATATAATTATTGCGCTTGCTAAGTTACATATATTAATTCCACTGAATTTCAGATGCCATTTAATATTTTACATAATTAGAAATATACAATATAAAGTATAGGTATATAAGAAAAAGTCGAGGCTACTTAAAATGGTATACAGGTATAAAATATATTATCCATAATAGTTAAAAACAGCGATACTACACGGAATTTGCTTATAAAAGGTGTTTCAACTATGCAGTCATTAATCTTCGGCGATATCTCTTTGAAATAAAAAATATAAAAACAGATTGTCAAGTTAAGGGTCGAAAAACAACAGTAGGCACCAAAACATGAAACAAGTTTGTGTTTCGAAAGAAAAAAAATATAATTTTTTAAAAAAGAAATATTTGAAAAGTAATGACAGTATACATGAAACATCTTTGGATTATATAAAACAGGAATGATTTGTAGTAAAGTTATCAGTATCACACAAAAACAAATCACAGGTTGGAATGTTAAACAAAAGATAGAATAATTATTGTAGTTATTGCTTTTTAAATTATGTATTTTTATAACATCAATAAAGCTCAATAATAAATCATAATAGTTTAGATCGTTATAGATGACTATCATAACTTTCCAATATTTAACCAATGTGAAAACAGATATTTTTAATTAAAACAAATCTTTAAAAAAATGTCTTTTGGACCATTCAGTATAATCAATGACATGATCGATTTGAATCAGACACAAGTTGCGAATAGGCTATACAACGTTCATCTTCTAAAGTAAAATCGACCCCCTGGCAGGATATTTACCATTTAAGTGAAGTAGCTTTTTTAAATAAAAGTGTACCATGATTTATTTATATAATGAGCAATTTTTAAGAAGTGATATGATTGATGACATTGGCACTCATTTTCTAGCTTTCATACATATAAAAATCCATTCAATACCTCAAGGTAAAAAATTATTTGAAAATAAGACGAATAGAATAATTTGACTAGATCTATTCGAAAAAATAATAATATATGTTTTAAAGTCAGACTTATTTGATTACTTTCTGGAGATACTAAATGGATAAAAATTATTTAATTTTAAACTTAGTTGGAAATTTGTACCTATGAACTATTGGAATGAAACTAAATGCAAGATTTGACAGATCTTTTGAGGTATAAATATATTTCTTAGAAATAATCAGAACTGTAATAAAAGATTCATATATAAGCAACTTAATAAACTAATCAAAAACAAAAAACAACCAATATTATGCAAACATCGTATTTTTAAAATAATACATTATTAACTGAATGTTTTAATGTATACAGGATGTCCCATTAGAGCGTAATTGTTCAATATTTCAATTTATGTTATAGACACGCAAACAAGTTTCAAATAAAAATTATATGGATTTGAAAAATACATGTTTTAAAAATATTTTTGGATACAGGGTGTTGCGTTTTTGCCTGGTAAATAAAAATGTATATTTTTTAAATAGAACATCCTGTATTTTATTTCATTTTTAGAATGGTATGGTAATACTGTTTTTAAAAAACAACACATGGTTTAATTAAATAATTATTTTGTTATGAAAGATGCAGACTCCAAATGAAATTATCATAATTTAGGTAGGTTTACATTGATTTCAAAATTGTTTAACATACAGTTATAAGATACTAAGCTAACGAATAGTGGAGATAGAACTGGTTTATTTTATATAAAGCGTTTTATGTCTTAAATATGGCTAATTTCAAGTTCAATTTTCTCAAATGCAACACCCTGTATATTATTTTAGTATAAAATTCCTTATAAATTTACATATCTCACTATACCAACCTAATAGCTAGTAACACATATACAGGGTGTCCCATCAGTGCGTCATTGATCAATAGCTGTTTTATTATTGGAAATACGAAGACATTTTTAATATATTTAACAATTTTATTATTCTTAAATATACAGGGTGGTCCATACACGAGGTACTGACAAAACCTATACTTTTTTAAAGCAAAACACCCTGCAGATAGTTTTACCTATTTGATTGTTTTCACATTGTCAAACAATTTTAATTGACTTCATTCATTTGTTGTTAAAGGGTCTGCCAAAACGCCAGGTTATGATTTTCACAATTTTTTAAATGAAATACCCTGTATTAATTAATTGATGGTATAACATACAGGGTGTTTCATTAAAAAAATTATAACCTCGGATTTTGACACACCCTATGTACAACATAGCAAATGAATAAAGACTAGTAAAATTGTTTGAAGATGTGAAAACAATCAAATATGGAGGGTGTTTTGCTTTAAAAAAGTATAATTTCTTAGGTCCCTCGTTTATGGACCACCCTGTATCTTTAAGAATAATTGGTAAATATGGTAATTCATATTTTATATTTTTTTTTTCAAATATCCAATACTAAAACAGCTCTTTATCAATCTATACCGCACTGGTGGGACGTGTGTATGTGTTATTAGCTAATATGTTGGTATCTTGCATAGGTAAATTTATAAAGAATTTTATGCTAAAATAATATACAGGGTGTTGCATTTGAAAAAATTTAACTAAAAATTAGCCATATTTAAGAGATGTTTCAAAACACTCTGTATAAAATAATCCAGTTCTATCACCACTAATCGTTAGTTCAATATATTATAAGTCTGTATTTTAAACAATTTTGATAACACTGTAAATCTACCTAAATTATGATAATTTAATTTGGAGTCTGCATCATTCTTTAATTTCGTAACAAAATTAATTACTTGGCAACCCAGTAATATTTTGTAAAAAAATCTAGGGTTGAATACAAAATTACTAAACCATTATAAAACTGAAATAAAATACATTTTTATTTGCCAGGCAAAAACACAACACTCTGTATAGCTAAAAATATTTTTTGAATCCATATGTTTTATTTGAAATATTGAACAATTACGCATTAATATATATTATAAAATTATATGTATAAAATTATAAATGTATATTTATTTTATGTACTACTTAATTATTCTGAAAGAAAAATTATATCTTTTGCCAGTATTAAAGTATACCTTGAACAATATAAAGTCTTTTAGAAGTGTTTGAACTGATTCTTAGGTGAAGCACAAAAAAAATGTAAGCTGTCAAAATGACAAAAATATGTTACGTTATTCTATAACACATAAATTTTTATTTAAGGAAATCTATTTGAGCTACTTCTATTTGAAAAATGTCATATAAAAATATATACGAGTCTAGCTTAGTACTTCTCTTAACTTAGCATGAAGTAGCCTGATTAATTTTTTAGCATTTAAATGTTCAAAAACAAAACCTACCTGAACTTCTACAAGCTCAACAAAATTAACATAATTTCTTCAATAAACAAAAATAACATTACTCCACAACCTTTTAAATTCAAATTAAAAAAATTATTATAGCTCATTTTTAGCCCTAGGTTCTTTTTGTTTCCCACCTGTAGCTTCTTTTGAAGGTGAAGAGGTCGTTTTAGAAGGAGGCTGAGTTTGTTGTTTGGCAGGAGGTGGAGTAGTTACCTTTGGTGGAGGAGGGGTCTGCTGTTTTGGTGGAGGAGGGGTCTGCTGTTTTGGTGGAGGAGGGGTCTGCTGTTTTGGTGGTGGAGGGGTTTGCTGTTTTAGTGGTGGAGGGGTCTGCTGTTTTGGTGGTGGAGGGGTTTGCTGTTTTGGTGGTGGAGGGGTCTGCTGTTTTGGTGGAGGAGGGGTCTGGTGTTTTGGTGGAGGAGGGGTCTGCTGTTTTGGTGGAGGAGTTTGTTGTTTTGGTGGGGGTGTGGTTGGTGTTGGTGGGGGTGTGGTTGGTGTTGGTGGAGGCGGCGTTTGTTGTTTTGGCGAAGGAGTAGTTGCCTTAGGAGATGGCGGCGTTTGTTGTTTGGGTGGGGGAGTAGTAGCTTTAGGAGGAGGTGTTTGTTGTTTGGGTGGTGGTGTAGTCAGTTTTGGAGATGGTGTGGTAGTTTGCTTAGGTTGTTCTTGTTTGACTTCTACTTTGGGTTCTGGTGCAGAACGTTTAACTTTTGGTTGTTCCCAACTCAGTTTTGCCAGAGGAATTCTACCAATGTAATCGTTTATGGGGGACCCTAGGTATAATTGATCCTTGAATATAAAAGCATCAGATATAAACCTCAGTTTTTTGTCTGTAGTAGTAAATGACTCCAAAATTTCTCCGTTTTTGGACAAATGTACAATTGTTTGACGTGGATGTGTTGTTAAAGGAGACACAGAGCGGTAGTGTCCAATCTGTAAGAAATAAGTATTCAAATGAATAATGATTACATTTAATTTAGGTTTAACTTACAAAATGTATGGCTTTCTTTGCGAATTCTGTGGAGTAGTAATTTTCTGCTGTTTGAATGGTAAGCTCACCGATACCCATAATTCTTGCTAAAAACTTTCTGACATTTGGGAATTCAAACAAAATTTGTATCAGAGTTGGATGCTCTTCATCAATTGCTTCAACCAATGGTGCTAAAAATCCATCTTTGCCATCTGATTGAAGATTATCAGGCATACCAGGTAAACCATCAACAAATATATCATGAGTTCCTTTCTTGGGCCCTTTTAAATAGTATCTGTGAATTCTACTGTAGAATGTTTCAACTACTAGTACAAAATCTTCATCTTTTGACAGAATTACACCATTAGCAAAATGAAGATTATCAATTAGAACAGTGTTTTTCTTAGTTTTGGCATCATAATGGACCAATCTAAAATAATTAGAGCTCTAAAGTCACAATATATCTAAATCATGTTCAAATATTTTACAATTTTTTTGTTCATATTAATTTCATTTATTCAAAAATAAGTTGGGTAAACATTTGTAGTACTTATCTAGTGATTAGATATAATTTATTTTGCATTTTAAACAAGCAGCTATTGTAATTTATCATGCATTTATTTGTAAAGTTATTTATTTTTATTATCGAGTAGAAATGTTTGTCAAATACTTTTTGTTAACTATATTACATAGAAGCAAATATTATATTAGTACCAAAAAGGGATTAACTATTATATTATATAAAACAATTAAATGGGTTTATTAATTTCAATGAATGCTGAAAATGTTATTAATTATTATGTACCTTCCAGTTGGATCTGACAGAGCATCATATACAAGATCTTGCAAATAAAATTGAGTAGAGGAATCACTCCAAAATAGGTCTCCATTTCTTGCTACAGCTAGACTATTAAACAGTTTAGGTTTTTTTCCATTTATTATTTCATTGGGCGATACAATCACATCTTTTTGGTCTAAAAATAAAATCATACATTACATAGAATGTTACTAGTACTAATCTGTTATTCTAACCTTTTTTAAAATTGAACTTCAAAATTCCATAATAAGGGTCGGCCACATACAAGATACCATTTTCGTCAAATCTTAGACCAAGAGGCCTTCCACATATTTTTTCTTCATAAAAAAATTTACATGGTTTTCCAGTTTTACCTACAGCAATAATTTGGTTATCAACTAGTTTGGCTATGACACCGCCATGTAAAGTAGTATATAACTCTCCATTGTATTCAGCAAATGCTTCTGGGCTCATAAGTTTCCCCTTGTGCCATATTTCTGTATCTTTTAAAATTTCATTAATAGCTAGTGGTCCATCTAAAGGTCGAATTTTGGGTAAACTAAAACAGTAATAATAGTTACATTTTAATTCATTTAATAAATAGGCACAATAAAAATCTATTTATTGCTTTGATCTAAATTTTAATATAAATCGTAACTGTGACTCAGGATAGTATTATCAACATTTTAAATATTATTGTGTCCATCTCTACAAGTAATTTTTCTACTGGTAAAGTGAAATTCAACAGTTTTATTTAGTCAGTGTTAAATCAGTAAGTTGGTTAGGGTTTTATAGAGAAGCATGTACTAGTAATAAAATGCCACAGTGTGATATCTGAAGTTCACCATATCAAGAAGAAATAAACAGGGGATTAAAAACAAGTTAATTTGACATATACAGTACTAAAAGGATGTCGATTTGGTTAATTTATTTGAAAATATCATGGAAATACGACAATGCATTAATGATTTTCTACTGTCGAATTATAATAGTATTAATAAGCTGTTCAAAGAGAAGTTGGATCAGGCTTTGCCCACTGTTAAATAACATCTTTCGTCTGTTAAAAGTAAACTCATGAAAAATTGCGAAATATGTATTGAATCCGTTCTAATGTACTAAACATAAAACCCAACCAGCAGTCATCATTTGCTCAAAAAATAATCAATCTCCTTCTGTAACAAAATCTGATATGTCATGCTGATTCTGCTCAAAGCCAACTTCAAATGGACAGGGTTAAAAATACCAAAGACAGTGGAATAATTATTGGCTGTAGAAGTAAGGAAAATAACAAAAAGTTAAAAAAATTACTGAAAGAAAAACTATCATAGGATCATAGTTAGGAAAGTTACAGGAGTAAATCCAAGGTTGCTAATTGTTGGCATTTCCATGCAGATCCAAACGATGAGATCACTGCTTTAATTCCTAAATGTAATGTTGACATTTTCTAAGATGATACATCTTGTAAAGTTATTAAAAATATGCATACTACAAAAAATACTAACATTTTACAAACTATTATTGTGGAGTAAAAAAAGTCTACAGTAAACCGACTGACCTACACCATTTGTATAAAATTTTTATGAAACTAATTAAATACACACACCACCAAGTGTTGTATCAATTATTCTGCATTTTTGATTCGATATATTTAATGTTTACAGGTTAACAGTGATTACTATGTACAATGAATTTGCAACAAAGAAATGATTACAATTTAAACAATAAGTCTTTTCACATCTGTTTACATATTTATAGTTTGTTCATTAGTGTAGTAACTAGTTTGTTTTTATATTTTCCACAAAATATTTTTCTAAAGTACTTAGAACTTGGAAAAAAATCACGAACGTGGAAGCATGGAATTCTTCCTTTTAAGTGCCAGGAATTAATTAAGAGCCTTGCAATAGTTATCATGGGTTAATTTGCGATGAAAATTTAAGATTCTACAATCACTTAAATCATCTACCAAAAGCTAGTTACGGTGCTCTAAGGTTACTATATTTAAATAAACATATTTTATTAAATAAGGAAACCCAAGCTAATCTATGTCAAAGTCTCGTTATGTCTAAAATAGTGTATGGAATACAAATTTATTACCATTGCTAACAGTATTCAATAAAAACAGGCTTCAAATCATGCAGAATACTTGTACATTTATCAATAATTTACGAAAATACGTATTTCTTTCATTTTTGCAAGAACACATTGGCCAAAGATTCACAATGTTTATTTATTGCTAAGTATGATGCATAGAATAATCAAAGATTCGTTGTCTACCTATCTTAATGATAAATTTCAATACAGAACATCAGTTCATATGGTCAACATAAGAGACACTAAAACATTATTAATGCCTATTCATCATACTGCCATTTTTAGATGGAGTTTCATTTGTAATGCGGTAAGTCTGTATAACACATTACCCTTATGCTTTTAAATCCAGATTAAAGGAACATCTACTAGACAGCCAGCAAACATAATTTTTTAGTTTGCAAATTATTTTAAAGTTTTTATAACTATGTATAAGTATTTATCTTTGAATTTATCTCTGTATTTAATTCTTGTTTTTTAAATTTTATAATTTGAATATGTAAATGGGTTAGATGTAAGAGTAGCCATAGGCTAAAATCTCGCCCTATTGTGTACTTTATTTTTGTAATCTATATTTAGTGCAAATAAAGACGTTTATTATTATTATCTGTCTTTGACAGTCATCATTATTTTAGAAACAATTTTTTGTAGATCATACTTTATTTTACATAAAAATGGTGTAAAAATATTTTAAAAAACACTTACCTAAAAGATTTTGTTATATCCGCATAGGGTGGAAGATTAGGAATTAGTACTATTAGTAGTACAGCAATTACACTGATGATTACTGAACGAAGGAAACATTTGCATATACCCATTTCTACTAGAATTATAAAAAAGAATAGATCTGAAAAATTACTAATTATATGCAATAGCTTTGTTAAAAGGCCAGTAAAAGGGACTTTAATAACACAGAGGGACCAATTTTTACTCAAAATTTTATTTAAAAATTCATGAAATTACTTTAGTGTGGCCTGGTCGAATCTAAGTTCAAAACTCAAGAAATAATGGACAGCATTAGTTGAAATTTTGCGTAGAACATCTAGAATTATCTAATAGGTGGCAAAGTTGCAACTAGAGTCCTTTTTACTAATCAACCTTTGCAAGAAAATGCAAGTCCTACATAAGTATACCTATATGTATCGCCTTAAAAAATGGTTTAAGAATTACCATTTTAAAATACCTAACTGTAATTATAGTATAAGCTGGATGTACATTTTTAAGATAGGTATAAGCATATCAAAATTGTCGAAAATATAAATGATATAAAAGTAAAATACATATGTAAAACTGCCAGAATAACAATGAATTAATTATGAAGAAACTACTATTGTAATGAAATTACAATGGCACTAATAAAAAGGGTTAACGAACTAAAGAAAGACTAGCTAAGCAATAAAAAATGTATAAAATTCAACATCTTTACGCATTTGATGTATTTTTAAATGAATTTATTTCTAGGGGACACTGATCTAAATTAGAATGTAATGTCTTTAGTAATATTTATCAATAATTTTATAAATAGTTTTTATATCAATTCTAATCTTATTACATTGATAAATATATTAATGATTTTGATAACACAAATTTTATATCTACACGTATAATTATTAATTTAACCTATAACAAAGTATTATTACCTATTGGAATAGTTTTCAAAATTCAATTATTACAAAATCATCCTGAATTTCTCTATGCACAAAAAATATTAACATTACTTACCAAACCCCCGTAAGACGGCTTTTTGTTAGATGCAAATGGCAAAATAAAATTATGAATTCTTTCCTTGACGTTTTAACTGTGACAGCAGGTGAGTTGTCAGTTCATTGTCAATGTCAGTTACCTACTTTTCTTCTCCCGTTAAATTTACGTTGACTCGAACTATTATCGCTTGTAGTCTTACTGGCCTTGGTATATACATTTTTTTATTGTCTTGAATAATGGCCATCTAAAATTTTTGCATGAATTTTCCAGAAAAGAAAATAATTTATTGAATTTTTCAAAATTCATAAATGGTTATACATCCCACATGACCAAATTGGTTGGTGTAAACCTTAAAGCATATAAGACTAGAGATCATTCGTTGGGGTCTATTCTGTAACAATTCCTTTATATTTTAACGGCCGTTAAAATATTAGCTGCCTTTAAAAATATTTTCGAAAGCCACATATATGAATATCGAATTACAATTATTTACAGTGTATATGGAAAAAACTTACTCATTTCTAAAGCAAAGTACAGGTACAGCTTTTGGTATAGATCCTTTTATTAATCTATTGCTACCTTTATAATAACGTTCAGTTGAAAATGGTCTGATCAAAGACATGTGTTGTTAGAAATGCTATTAATTCTCAAACTAAATACTTGACAGTTTGCTTGTGAGATCAGCAGGAAATCTGAAATAAGTAAAAAAAGAAAGATTTAAATATTAACGGCAATTGAATAAATAATAATAATAATAATACTCTCCCTAATTCACCCCCTTACGAGTGAATTTCAACCCCTGAAGTCGACTGAACGACTTGTGTAGGGGAAGGGACGGCTATTATTATTTGCCGAGGCGCTCCGTGGCGACCTAAAGATGATTGATGGTGCCATTTGACTTACAGGTGAGGAAAACCTCACCCACCATCATCGAGACGGTAATGTATGGCGAATTTTTTTAATCTGCATGTCATATCGAACAGAAATTGAATTTCTATTAATACGCCACACATCAAATCCTAAACCGAACCATGCAATTTAATTAAAAATCCACATGGTCTGGTCTGGGATTCGAAACGCAGCAGTCTCAGACTCATAAACTTGTCTATAAATGAATATAAGCGCGATAGACCGCTACACCACCGTCCCGATGATATTGTTGATAATGATGTACAATACAAAAATATATCTAGTCGATTTTATATTATACGAAAAAACATAAATTAAGCATTATAGCAAAGAAAACAACTATTTTCTGTCTAACGCAACCAGTCACGGTGATGCTCAAATGAAGAACATTCTACAAACATATTTTCTTATTCATTTGCCCATTTTTCATTTCAAGTTACGTTTATGGAATATAGAATACTTACTTGTGAAGCGTCAACCAGGATCCTTTTAAGAATTTATTATTGCAAACTATACAAGCTTTCGGCATGATTATAACTTATTTTATAATAAAAATAAACTTAAATCGTCTTGTTCCTAACTCGCCAATCATAATGCGTCGTGTACCTAACACCGAAGGGGTTAGCCCCCTCAGTACATAACAAACCCATTTGAGTATTCTGTGGTCGCCTAACGGCGTCGTGCGATACGGACAATGTCGAGTGAATTATTCGTAACTAGTTACATAATGTTCACCATTATTTAACAGATGACATAAACACCTGTCGCATATAAGTAACACCACTTTCGCCACATTAGTATGAAATCTTGACATTTATTATGTGTAGGTGTCATTGTTTTTGATTATAATACAGCAATTTGTCTTTAAAAACTATAATAGACTAAAAAGTCCTAATCAAAATAATGGTCCGTTATGCAAATATATCCGTACTTTAGAAAATTGAGATTTTTATTAGCAGAAAAAGCAAGTAACTTTTTTACTTTCCTGTCTGTATACATATAAGGAAAGTATAGGAATAATTTTTTTTCGACCTCGAGTTTTCGACCGATTTTTACGATTTGGGGTCCCCCGAATCCGTTTTGACTGTTTTCGCGATGATGTCTGTCTATATAATCGATAACTCTTGAACGGATCCTGCATGCGGTGAGCTGATTAGATTTTGGGCATGACAGATTTGGAACATCTCGGGGGGTATTTTATAGGGGCCATTTTCTACTGTAGAAAATATTTTATTTACGCTTGTAATGTTATGCACTATAATGTTTGTCCTATACATAATTTTCATAAAATATTCGAGAATTTGACAAAAGTGCAAAATTTGAATATTTAAGAAAATTGTTTGATATAATTACCTACCTATAATTTTTGTTTTATGCATAATTTCTTTAAAATGGACCGTATTCGAGATATTTGAGAAAAAGTGCAAATTTCGAATATAACCTTAATATAACTAACTCAAAAACGGAGAAAGCAAAACGCCAAATTTTAAATTTAAGCTTTAGTCCATCTTGTGGGGAAATGATTAAATTTTGCGCATAGTCAGAACATCTGGGGTACTTTATACAGGGTCATTTTTCTATTTTGTTATTTACGCTAAAAAAATATTCTCCATAATTTTTGTTCTATACATAATTTTCCTAAAATGGCCCGTATTCGAAAAATTTGTCAATATGTGCAAAATTCGAAATGTTAAGAATATTTTTCAAAGAAAAGTTCTTTGCGATATTATTCTCTATAATTTTTGTTTTATACATTTCTCTAAAAGGGACCGTAATGGAAAAATTTGAGAATCAGTGTAAAATTTTAATTTTTCAGCATTTTCGTTGGCAATGTATATATAAAAAAATTCGAGTAAGATGTGTATGGAAAATGTATGTATTTAGTTCGTCCTCTAAATGTTTACACTGGTGATGCAATAGGTTGTACAAAATATGCAGAAAAAACTTATAACAACTAGACAGAAAAGTCATGTGTTGGACACATTAGATTTTTTTAAATAAATGTTTTAAATTTTTTAAAAATCTGTTATTTTTTCCGGATTAAAATTAATTTCTACTTTACAAATATTTAATTAACGGGATTAAAAATGTTCAAAATATTACTGTTCCTATCCCCACTGCAAGTTAAAAATAAGCTCCACCTTGTGGTGCCATTTATATATTTAGTAAGACGTGAAACCTCTTTGAGCATCCCTTCCATTATCCTCGAGTTAAACACAGGACCTCCGCTTATATAAATTAAGGTAACCGTATTAATTCATTCCCAATAATAAAAGGACTTGTTAATTTTCTATAATTTATTTTAATGATAAACATACAAACTTTACATAAAAAAAATATATATTTTATAATTTAAACCTAAATACAATATTTAACTCTTTATTTTTGAAAAGTTTAAAAATTTGGAAGTATACACATATTAAATATATAATTTATCATCAATAATGAAAAAAAAAAATAATAATAATTCTCGGAATTTAAAGGACAGTTGATGGCTTGACCGATTACTTAACTGATAGGCACTATTTCAACAATTATTTGAGAAAGAGCAATATATTTTAGAACTTACGGTCTCTTAAAAAATTGTTTCTATAAGCACAAACTATCGGAATATCAACATTTTTAATTATATCTCTTATATCATTATATATTTTTAATTCAGCTTCATTGGATGCCCTTAATTCGAGCACTTCTAAAACTAAAATACAAGTTGTTGAATCCAATTTATGTTTCAAGAGTGCCAAAAGTAAGGAATAATATTCTAAACCATTCATTAGGTTAACAATTTTATCAAATACATCTTTAAAATTGTTATAGACATGAAAACCGAATTCCGATATTAACTTATCCAAGTAATTAATAATATCCCTCCCGTAATTGTCTATGGAAGATTTAGACTGCTGCATAATTCTTAAATTCAACTCGATGTGTTCGTTTAGGAAATTCACCACAGTAAAATATTTGGTCCAGTATTGGAAAAATTCATTCACCAGACTCTGATCGAAACTACTTTTGTCAATAATGCGGAAAAAACAGTCAAAGAAATCACTGGTTTGTATAATATTTGATTTCGATAGTAAATCAAATGTTAAAGTGAAAAACTGCGTTCTCTCTGATACTCGTGTTTTAAGAATTTCTATCACAAATTCATTTGTACCCTTCAAACTATCTGGACTATTTTTAAAGCAGTACTTGTTTATTATGTGCGTGACAAAAACTGCAGATAACGATATTGCAATATCTTTCCTCATTTTGTTTAACAACTGTTCTAAATAATTGCTTATTTTAAATCCGCTTGATGATAAACTTTCAAAGTAATTCCAACAATTCTCTAAGTATTGGGAGCGATATCTCGATGGAATTGTAACATTTGCCAAATTATTTAACGTTTCTAGATCATTTCTATCTATACTAGTCATACTTTCTATTAATTTCTGCAACAAATCTCGCGAAGGATTTTTTAAGAAATATTTTAAAGTCGCTGAGAATAAATGTTTTTGGCTGGATACATTACCTTCGGTTGTATTTTTTAACAAATTCAAAGTGTGTTCTTTGTCTAAAACCTCGCAGCTTAAGAAAATCGCATGCTTTCTTACAGAGACTGCCATTTTTGCTAATGTTATTACATATGAATATAAGATCTTTTCTGGAGATCTGTAAAAAGTTTTATATAACGCTCTAAGAGCGGATTGTAAATAGTCACCTCTGCAGAACTTCATTATTGTCGGCAACATTTTGTATGGTTCAACGACTTGAGCTGATAGCTCTATTATTTTGCATTGCAAATGATACATATCAACCATAACTTTGTCTTCCAAATCTAGCTTATCTTTTTGTGGTAAATACTTCTCTTCAATTAGTTTTTTTAAATCATCAGTTGAAAGTAATACTGTTAAAGCAGTCACTAATTTTTTCTTATCCTGAACTCCTTCATCATCTAATTTATTCTTGTAGTATTTGCAAATTTTCTGATCAAACTTTAAATAAGAGCAATGTCTTATTGTTGTAACATCTAAAGCATGGTATGAGTTTACTGTATTTTTAACTATTTTGTCAAAATAAGGTACTATAGTTGAAGGTTCATTTTTTATAAACCAGTTAACAATATTAACGTCAGGATAGGATTCAAATAATTCATTAAAGTATAATAATAACATGGAATTTTCAAGTTTTGAACGATCTTTCTTTAAAACGTACTTTTTGTAGACGTCGCTAAAGCAAACAAAAGATTTATCGTGGTTAGTTATGATAGAAATAATATTTAATATTTTAGAATCATCAAAATGCACCGTGTATTTAGGGAACGTTAGGTTATAGGCAAGGAGCTTTGAAAAAATCGATTTTTGATTAGCAAGGAATTCGTTACTCTGTTTTCTGAAAGTGTCTTCTATGAGAAGAACGAAATCAGGAATCTCTGCTAAATTAATACAATATTCGGGATTAAGTATACTAAATGTTAAGATGGTTGTTAGCATTCTTGTTTGGTAAGTTACAAACTGTTCCGATTCCTTATTTAAAGCATCTGAAAAACTTTTACCAATTGCAATATAAATTTCTTTCTCTACAGGTTTGTTATTCAAATCTAACATCCTTACAATCCTCTCTTTTACAGACTCATTAATATATTCAGCAAGAGCTTCCTTATAATCTTTTTTGTTTTTAAATAAAAATTCTAAATATCTTTGCAGAAAATGAGCATTCACAAAGAAGTGAAATTCTTTTTGAATTCGAAGAATTTTGATCTGTTCATTTATATACTTCCAGTGATTTTCGTTTAATTCTTCAAGTTTGAAATTATTGGATATTTCTCTTAAAAGGCTGTTCCTGAAATCAGGATATTCATTTCTGTGCCTAAAATAATAAAATTAACTTTTACAAATATGATTATTATATATATTTGGTTTTAGACAATACTAATTTAAAATAGACAGTGGTAAGAGCATTTTATAAGATTAGGTAATTAATATTCCAAGATCAAGGAGTAACAAATAATGTTAAAATCAGGTATAACAGAAAAAAAGCTGTCTGAATTATATAACGGTAATTAAAAAGTGTAAAGAAACCAACGGAATGATATGTGATAATTACGGTTAAAAAAAAAAAAAAAAAAAATTATAATTAACTTTTATTGGAATCGAATATCAAATTTCATAATTTAAATTAGAAATTTATTGGCACTTCAATATCAAATATAATTTTCGAACTTGGGATAGCCATATGCGAGTTTATGGATTAAAGGTGGGAAAAAGAAAGAAAACAGGTCCTTTATATATCAATCACAAAGAAATGTGTGTTTGAATAACGACCGGTTTCGAATTGTTTACTTCATCATCAGGCACACCTAGTGGGTAAGAGAAGAGGGGGAAATGGTGAATTTTAAGTTGTTAACAATAATTTAAAAAATAAAAAATGATGGAATATTGATTTAATTTAAGTGAAATTAACAAAACTAATCTACTAATACCACTAATATTTATTTAGTTACCCTAATAAAAATTATTAATCAAATTAAAGTACTAAATGAATGAAAAAAAAAACAAAAATGATTAAAAAAAGAAAAAAATTGCTAATGAATATTGAAAAAATATGTTGGAACAAACCATCAACACCAAAATCGTAAAAGATAAAGAAATGACTATAAAATATAATAAAAAACCCAAAAACTCATCATAATCTCTTATCCACTAGAGATAAAACTACTGGACTACAATCTTGAAGGAATCGAAACGGACTGAACATTTATTATTTTTTAAAAGGGTTAAAAACATATTATAATTAAAACGTCACATGTTAAAATATCAATACTAAAAAAATTAATGAGCCTACAAAACAAAGTCAAAAAACTGTCAAAGTTTTTAATGTTTACAAAGCAAAATGGAGACTGGCAATGAACATTTAACGGTTTGAAAGATTCAAATTTAAAAAACAATTTTTCCCCTTTTCTCTTACCCACTAGGTGTGCCTGATGATGAAGTGAACAAACTTCGAAACCGGCCGTCGTTCAAATAGAAATTTCTTTGTGAGATATAAAGGACCTATTTTTTTTCTTTTTCCCACCTTTAATCAAATTCAAATATAATTTACTTACCTAAAACAAATATACTGCAGTACTTGTTCGAGTGCATTAAAATCTTTGTGCTTAGAACACGATTGTATCATGAGTTGAATCAAATTTCCTCTTTTGTAAATATCTTTAGTAACATTGATTTTTTCTTTAATTAAAGGAATAGCTACAGATGGTTCATAATATTGTAAAAACTCTTCGAAATTGCCCTCTTGTTGTTGGTAATGAACTTCAGCCCACTTTAAATAAACCTCTTTTGGAGGATGAAGATCTTTTATTTGATAACTCCACAGTAAGAGAATTTGATTTAAATTTTTGTCGGAAAATTTTTCATTGCATGTCTTTATAAATAAATTCCATCTTCTACCTTTAGGATAATATGCCAGCCATCTGTTGCAGGTAGAGTATGCATTAATACCGGTAAATTTATTTGGAAATACGTTTTTGTAAATTATCTCAAAGTTATGGCTTCTCTGGCCCAACTTTCGGATTGCAGCAGCTTGATTTAGAAATCTAAAGTATTGTTCACAATTTGTAAGCAAGTCTTCTTTTATTAAGGGTATTAGTTTTTTAGTGGTTTTTCTGCCAAGCCTACTACTTATAATTTTTTTATCTTTTTCAAGTTCTAAGTATAGTTGAGGATTTTTCCTCGCTAAGTGACATAAAACTTTAGTTTCGTCATATTTATTGCACGTAATTTTGTTTATGTGATCTAGATATATCTTAAAACATTCTTCATTTATGTTTATTAGTTCTAATACTTGATTTGGGCGTAATTTAATTTCATTGTCATCAAGAACACTTTTTATTTTTGTTTGGCTGCACTTGTGTAATACTGGTATGGCTACTGTAAGGCCATATCTAAAAATAAGTATTATAAATCATTAACAAAATATTGTACTTAATAAAGTTTAACATTTTAAAATATCCAAAACTTGTTCAAATTTTAAATCAGGAGTCATCAGCAATTCATATCAATTATAAACTGATTGCGTTTAAGAAATACTTGAATTACCATATTTTGGTACTTACAAAGATAGATTTCAAAATCTTCATTAAATATTTGTCATTCAAAGTAGAAGTAGTGTACTTTCCGGAATAATCTACTCTTTGATAGATGTTATCTAACTACTAGGCCTACAACTGTTGGTTTTTTATATTTAAAATTGATATTTAATAAAATGTCCCGAACCAGTACAAAAACCAGATTTTTGGGCTCCTTGATTAAATCGGAGAACTGAAATTTGTTTTTATTTGCCAAAAGCAAGACCAATATAACGCAAAAATCGAAAATCATATTACTGATAACAAAAATATTACTTTTTAATAATAACTGATAAATTATTACGTTTTAAAAATTGACGTACGCCACTGCTATATTGAGGTGGGTTAGTTAGAAATAATTTATTTAATTTAAATAGGTCATTGAAGGCTGATTTTAGTACAATGCAGTTAAGATCAAGTTCTACGCGTTGTCAACGACAAGTGACGGCGACTCTTTTATCACAAAAAATAGCTCTAAACCAAAGACATTACAACATAGAGACAAAATGTTTCATTTATAAATCCCATACAATTGCGGACTGTTATTGTTTTAAAATTGTTAGTGAGTGGAAGAGAGAAAGACAGATCTCTTAGGACCGGCTGGCAACGTTGTAAACAGTGTCCATAATATGCTCGTAAGTGGCGTAGAGTTTTAAACTTACCAGTAGGTACTGTCTGAGTAGTATGTTAAAAAAATACGTAAACAAGTAGGTATATTTTTTTAATAATATAATCATGATGATTTTTTCATGTAGGTAAATTCAAGTACAAGTAAATTCAAATACAAGACCTTCCGATTTTTAATATTTATTGGTTTGTAGTTTATTGGCATTTACTATATATTTGCCTGGTATGATGTTAACCAAAATTATTTAAATTAACATTAAGTAGGTAGGGGTATCTAAATAAAACACTGTCCTAAAAATATTAATTTTTTAATTAATAATTACAAAAAAAACATGATATGACAAAAAATATCGTAAAAAAACTGTAAATAATTTTAAAATAACGAAATATATTAAATACCTTAATTTTATTAACTAAAATTTTATTTAATTTTGTATGCTTAGTTATTAGTGTTATTACTTACTGCAATGTTTGTTTTGCAGCAGGTGGTGTTCCAAAAACAGTTGAATCAGAACTAAAAACCCAACACATTAGATATACATACATATAGGTAATAAATAATGTTTAGAGGTAAACAAAAAAATTATATTTTGTATTTTTACCTGTTGGATAAGTCATCTAAAAATAGAAAGCCCTTACACCGTCTGGGGTTTGCATCTTTTCTGATATATTTAGCACCATTTGCACGTACCAAAACATCTTCAGGAAAAAAGTGTTCTGAACACAACTCTGGGTTTTTAAGAAGGGGCTGATTTTCAAGGATCCCTACTAGAGAAAACCAAAGTTTTCTTTTCTTAGGATCTTGCGGAAACCTAAATAGAATATTAAAAAATATGTATAGGTGCCTAATAGGTAAATCATTTTTAAGGTATTCTACATTTTACGTTAAATTTTCTTTGCCACTATTCAATAATTATTTATTGGTATAAGAATAATTTACTAATTTATAAAAGGAATATCACTTTAAAAACTGTTTTAAGACTGTTTTTGATATAATTTCTTATACAATTTAAATTATATATTATCAAACCTGCAGTAAATTGTCTGAAAAATTTAGATTGGATAATCATTTTTCAAACAATTTACTATGTGATCCTATACAATTTAAATTCTATAAGAAATTGTATCAAATCTTGTACAAGAAATTGTATAGTCAAAATAGTCTTAAGACGGGTGCCCTACTCCACTGGTTCAAATGAAAACAACATATCTAAACCTAAAAATACTTACCGATGAAAGGATAAATTTCGATTTAAATGATCTACCTTATTAAACAGTACACGTGCATGTACCATAATTCTTTATATTTCTCACAAAAGTTCACAAAAATAGTATTTTATAATTGAATAAATCAATAAGTCACACAAAAACTGTCAGAAACACAAAATAGCTGTTAGACCCGATTGGCAACGTTGCGGCTGGTTACGGTAACTACATTTCATTCATAAAAATAGGTACTACTTGTAAATTCGTAAAATAAGATATTCAGCGTTGCCGTATTTACGGAGTTCTTAGCAACCCTAATATTTTGTTTGAATAATAATATTGTGGCAGAATCGGTCCATGACCTAACTTTAACCTTTTATTTACCATACGTTTTTATCTCTCTAGGCAATATTTTTAGAGTTACTACTTTGTATATCTTTGTTTTATATGGTAAATAATAAATTATTATTATTATTATTGATTTTTAATAAACAATTTAGCTTATATTAAAACTTTAAAGAATAATTTGAATAAAAACATTTTTATTTATATAATATAAAATTATAGTTATAGGATACATCAAATTTTATTTTTCGAAAGTAATTTCTCCAAATAATGTTTACAGACCTGATAAAACCGGCAAAGACGCAATAAACGAGAATCTGGTGGGAATAAGATTTGCCACATAAAAATGTAAACAATTTGGTCTCTTAGTTGTAATATCTTTGCTCTAAACGATAATATTTTGAGAAACTGTTTTTAAAAATGGGTTCAGAGTACGGTAAAGAATGGTGGAAAGTCTATAGTGTGTTTTACTTTTAATGCATAATATTTTAATAAGTGATATTTAACAAATATTTAAAAGTTATGGACTTTCCGTCATTTTTTATAGTATTTAAAAGATAAAACGCAAAATACACTCTTTTATATTTGCCCTAATTATTTCAGAAAACTTGTGTTAAGATTTAAAAATGTACTGGTGCTAATTTGCAACCCTGCTAATTTGAGACATACATGTTATTAAACTCATTGTGTTACGTATTTGTTGAAACAGATAGAAATTTAAAGTGACGTCTTGCATTACTTCGAATAAAAATCATTTTCTAACCTATGCAAAAAGTTGAGGGTTGGGTGATTTTAATATTTAATACTAACATTTCTAATAGTATGCACTGTAAACCCATGGCGTCAACATTTTTATTTTAGATTTTTATGATTATTTTATAGCCACTAGAAAAGGGTATTTCTTTAACAAAGGTAGAATTGTTTTAAATATTTGTATATGTAGAGTGGCTAGCTTGTTACAATTTGAAGTAAGTTTAAATTCAGTTTTATACATATGCCCGGCATCAATCCTATGAAATAATAATAATACTCTCCCTACTTCAACCCCTTACGAGTGAATTTTAACCCCAAAAGCTGAGCTGAGCACCATCATCGAGACGGTAATGTATGGCGATTTTTTATAATCTGCATGTCGTATCAACAGAAATTGAATTTCTATTAATACGGCACACATCAAATCCTATACCGAACCATGCAATTTAATTAAAAATCCACATGGTCTGGTCTGGCATTCGAAGCCCAGCAGTCTCCGACACATAAACTTGCTTATAAATTTATATTCATTTAGACCGCTACACCACCCACATTCCTATGGGGGCTTTCTTCGATTTTAAACCAAAGAAGTGTGCATCCATGACAATTGTAGAAATTATGCATGATTTAACTTTCCACTTTTATACTCGTAAATGACAAGAAGAGGTTGCCCTAAAGCACAGTAAAATTCCAGGCTTGGCTTTGTTCAGCTATTATGTTCGTCTTTTTTGTTTGTGTTGGATGTTGTAAGCTTTTTGGGGTCGGTTCTTAATTGTCTTGCTTATATTTGTGATTTTTAGTGCTTTGATTTTGATTTAGTATAAAATTATACCTGTTAATTATTTTCCGATGCACTATTTTATAATTGTTGCACAAAATGTTCTTAAACCGTCCCTGAATCTTGTTTACAAAATGTGCAAAACGAAATTGTGCATAGTCTATCGATGGCTTAAGTGCAAAATCTCGTAACCCACAAAATTTCAAAAAATCTGTTTTTGCGTCATTGGAGTCGTATGTTTTAGTTGCGTATTGTGTAAAACTATCGTAAGCAACAGTATAAAATGAAATTAATTTTACGCGCCAAAAGAAAAAATTGCTTTCGAAATTACATATACAGTATATTTGGTTTTTTTATTCCCCTGTAAAATTTACTTTTTGGGGTTACGACGTTTTGCACTTAAGCCATCGCTATACTTTTTTATTAACAGTTATCATTCTACCCCTCAACCCCTCTCACCACTTCATTTTTTAGACACAGTGAAGTGTAGACTGGAGGTTGAAAAAAAATTAGTGACATTAATTTTGGATATCATACATTGTATTTTAAATAACACTGTTCAAAATACAAATGTTTTTTATTTAACACATTGAAACAACCATTTCTTAATGTTTTATTGCAACTAGTTTAAAATACTTACTTTTTGTCTAAAGCATCAAATAATAAATCAATCTTTTCTGTTGTCCAACTGCCTAAAAGTCTCGATAAAATTTTTTTCCTTATCGAGTATGACAAACAAGGCAGATATTCAATAACTAATTTTTCTGGATCAATATCATTGAAAGCTGCTCCAAAAAACCATAAATTTTTTAGTATCTTACTCGTGTACAGTTCATTTCCACTTTTCAGTAGTTCTAACAGAAAATCAGTTTTCTTAAAATACAGTAAGGTGTCAATATAAAAAATACTTTCTTGGTAATTTTTAGGATTGAGGTTTTTCAAAGTTTCACTTAGTTGTTCTTCAGTTTGAAATAAAGAAGGTGTTTTAAGAAGTTTATAAAAATTCTTTTTCCTGTCTTTGATTGTGCTCCCTTCTAAATTGTGAAATTTTTGTAGAAAGTCGGTGTCTCCCATTTCAGTACCTTAAAAGTAATATGTATGATGAGTCAATGCAGGAAGGCAGGGAAAAATTGCAGTGGTTCAAAAAAAATTATGTGTAAAAACTCAAAAAAACGAGGAAGTACTCTACTGCTGGGTTTGCTCGAAGTTAGCAAAGCATCCATTTTATTTTAAAGTTACATTTCTATGGTCTGAAAATGTGTGAGTAGATGTTTTTAGAAAAAAGCATTTATCGATAGCTTAATTCTAACATCTCGTAACCCACAAAGAGTAAATTTTACATTAGAGGCAAAACACTCTCTCCTGACCCATGTATCGTGCGGGTTAGGACTTATTAGAAATCGCTGGAATCAACTAGAAATGTTTTTATTTGAGACAAGAGGTTTTAGTGACTGATAGTGTCCATCTTTTTCTATTGAGTAAAAGTAAAAACGTGAATTCGTAAAAATTGGGGGTTAAGACTTGTTAGAATTAAGCCATCATAAAAGGCATAAAATGTCTGAATTATATATATACGAAAATTGCCTAATTTCCTGAAATGCTTTGCTGACCTTTTATGCATGCTGCTCCCAGCTAGCACATAACGTTACCAAGCCTTTCGGCGATGTTGTTTTAAGGGAACATAATAACATACCCATACAACGTAATTGCAACGTTAATGAGAAGTTGTTGAGGGAAATCAAAACCTCGCGAAACATCTATTTGTTACTTACGTATTTAACTTGCCTGTTAAGATAACACAACGTAATTAAGTAACTTGCTAAAAAAGTTTCCACGAGAAGTACTATGGACTTTCGAACGTAGCCATTCGTTTGTCATAACCAACAAAACATAAAAAAATGTCACTTGTCACTTTTTCTTGTACGTATTTGAGATTTTAAAGAAATTGGAAACTATACGTTTGAATAAGTTTGGTAAGTTGTTTTCTTCTTTTCAATAAATTTTCTAATTTTCTAATTTATTGTCTGTTGTTTTAGATGGTAAAATTTCAATTTCCAAATACAATAAAAAATGGTGACATATCACTTTAGTGTCACAAAATTACAGATTTGACATATGTTTTAAATAAAACTACAGATAGATATTTCTTGATTTTTGGAAAAAAAATTGCGGATTATAGTCAAAATTCAAAAATATGGCCTTTCCAAGTTGGAACTATTTTTTATTGCGGATGTTGAAAACTACCTATTACTTGATAAAAGCGTAGTAATTTAGATTCGCGCATGCTCTCTTGTGCGTTTGTCGAGAATTTGATTTTATTTATCGCAATTTTATTTGTGTTTTTATATTTTACATAGGTTTTAAGTGTTTTTTTGGATTATTTATTAAAAACTATTTATGAGCATATTGCATTTTAAATCAATAAATATTTCTAAATTTTATGTTGTGTTTACTGCAACAATCAATAGATAAGGCAACTTAGGTTTGTTTGGTAGCGATATTAAGCTGAGAAGCAAGAACGTATATTCTTTGATCTGTGTCAGTTGGCCGGGAAGCAAATTATTTTAAAAATTATGTTTTCATTACAGGCGACATTCAATTAATTTTTTACGTGGGTTCGGTTACGTATTTTTTTTTAATTATTTTGATATTTCCATAATGACAAATATTCAATTTTTTTGTTAGTGATGTTTTCTTGTGCAAATATGGAAAAAATGTTTCATGACGAAAAATATATTTTTTTTAAGTTGTTTCTCTATAGGTAAACATACTGCATTTTTTTGCGAAAATTTACTATAGAAACTAGTTATTTTTGGGTGTTGACAAATTTTTGCAAAATTCGTACCTGAACTCGGCGAACAATTCACTCATGTTCCAAAAAATAAAAAATTGAGGTTAGAAAAAAATGGTTATATTTTGAAAAAATCCGCACTTTTTTGTAAAGAATTAGTCTCTACTACATTCAAAATGGTTCTATTTTTTTTCTAAATGGCTTATTTTTTGTGACACTAAAGTGTTATGGACCCTAAAAAATAAATCATTGTAAACAAGTAGATACAATTAAATGATGAAATATTTATTTTACACGATAATAGGGATCTTATTGATGCCTTAATACTATAGAAGTAACGATATAAAACAATGAAAGTATCGATATTTAGGCACTGAATTACCAATACTATCGCCATAGTGATACTTAGAAGCAAGTATTGTATCGCTATGTGTGTGGTCAGAGATTATAAGGTTTGTTCAAATATTTGTACTGAAATATTTTAGTTTTTGCATGTGGTGAAACTTGGTAATATGATTAAGCGTTACCACTGTTTTTTTGTTATTTAATTATAAGGTAAATTGCCAGTTATTGACACTATAACTTGTACCAGGTAGAGTACCAGTAGAGAAAGAAAAGGTGTTGACTACAGAATATACTTTACTGATGCACTCTTGTTATTAGTTAAGTTCCCTACTCCGTCCTGTTGAATGGGGGTTGCCAGCCGTTTAACAAAAATCTTTTACTTTTTCGATACTTTGTTACTCGAGACTTATAAATATCAATATCTTTAACATAATATCGAACAGTATCGATGCCTCTACCACAAAGTATCTCACATGATACCGGTATTGATACCTTTGACCGATACTCAACCCTACTCCCAATTATAAAAATACAAAAACAGAGAAGTCATATACTGCTATCCTAACAAGAGAAGTCCTATCTGAAAATTTATATTTATTATCTTTTAAACCTTCTTTTGTGTAACTTTTTAACATTTTAGTACCTTTGTTACAAATAAGACATTCCTTTTCAGTATCGAGAAAGATAAAATGTAGACAAATGCACATAAAAAAAACTGCTAATTTTGCAGATAAAACCTTTCTTGCTAGAACAGCAGTATAGAAGTGCTCATGTAGTTCACTAAAGATAAATAACATTTAAATTTGTTACGTTTCAGTAAATTAAGTATTACCATTGCTGGACAGTAGTGACGTTTTGGTGGATAAATACAGCATTTCACTGGATATATATACCTATGCCATTTTGCTGTACGTTTGCTGCACAATACCAATTGCTGGACAAACTTTAAAAATGCTTTACAATACAGAAAAATTGCTGTAAGTATGGTCGCCCTAGTGTAATAATATTTTAATCACTAAAAATAAATTTTAAAAATATTGTGTTTTAGGTTTCCTTTGTGCTGGATTATAATTCTAGTAAAAATCTCAGGAATTTTAGAAGCTAAAGTTAATACAGAATTGGTTGAAGAAGAATATATAACAACTGAGATTATTTCTTTTTCTTTCAGAGCAGAATATCATGCTAAAAAACATTGTTCTGTATAAGTTGAACATCCAGTATTAAGTATAAAATTTGTAAAAGTCAAAATAAATGTTATTTATTTAAAAAAACAAAGTAAGTAAAAATCAACTAAAAATAGGTGCAACGATTTAAACGAGCATATTTTTTATTTTCTTTATATATATATATTATTTTCTTAATAATAATTAAACAAGTAAATTTATTATCTACAAAGTTATTTTTACGGAAGAAACTATGTTATTAAGTTCACATATTTATTTGTTTACAGTACGCTACTGATATATAAAGTTCTAAATGGTTAAAATATCAAAATAAAATAAAAAAGAAATTAATAAAATTGTCACAGTATAAAAATGAAGTCAATAGTGTAATAAAAGTTGACACTTTAAAAAATAAACCTTTTAAAATGTCATAATTTGAAAAATACTTATTGTAATTGGACATCAGTTGGTCTACAAATAAATTCTGTCCATAGTTAGTTCTATGAGCATTTACATAAAATAGTTTCATATGCCTAGTAAGTCTGGCAGGAACAAGGAATCTAATAAAGTGTACCAGGCTGTCACTATCAATCAAACCGTTCAATAACTTATACAGGAAAACAAATGATGCTTCTCGACATCTGCATACCAAACTCTTATAGGTCCCTCTCAAAAATAACATCAAGATCATTTATAGTTTGCTCAAAACTTAGTTCAGAACCTGCAATGACAATCATGCATAATGATATTAGCTGTTTTATTAAACCTTATGACTTTACATTTATCAATATTCAGTTTATATCATATTAAAACTATGATTAGTACCAGTTGTAGGCAAATATCTTTTTAGCATCCTACAACTGCCATCTTAATAAAAATCTAGTGACTTTTGAAATATACCTTATATAAATTCACTTTTTACTACTTTTGTACAATCGTGCACCATTTTAGCTACCAGTGAACCTTTGCAATATAGGTACCTTATTATACTCTTTCGTGCAAGCGTTCAGTGTTTTCGATTCTAGTGAACCTTTGAGATATTCCTTATATACCCTTTATACCAACTTTTGTCCAATTTGTCAGTGTTTTTTTTTTACCTATATTATTAATACCTACCTCTACTTGTATGATATTGGTTCTTGATTTCAAAAGCTTTTTAATAATAAATTTATACAATTTTTTATTTTGTTTTCTTCAGATTTTACTATATCCTCAATATACTATTTTGAATATAGTGTATCCAAGGATGGACATAACTATACTTGTAAAGATATTTATTTTAAATTGTTCAAAAGGTCTTTTTCATAATTTCTCAACGTTAATCGTATTTATTTAACAAGCAAAAGAAATTATGAAGAAGTACTTTTAAATTTAAAATAAATATTTTTACAAGTATTGTTAAGTCCATCCGTGGACACACTGTATAATGCTGTAGAATGAATTCACATTATAACATCTATAGAAAGTTTCAGAGCAACTTTCAGGGTAAGTACCGTAAAAGTGCTAGTGTGATGTTTTCCGAACTTCACTTTTTAACTTCTGTGAGATGTGCTATAAAAGTCTTGCCGTTGCGGACATTCGGTGGTTGCAGGGATGATAGGGTTACATTAACAGTACATTGCATGCGAGCTTAAAGAGCCTAAAATTGCAGCTTATTAACGTAGATGGGATGTTTTTGTGCTAGCTGGGCTTATTCATATGTATATTTTTTTAAAAAATACAAGCCCTGTTTTCATGATAATAATAAATTGAACTGGTGTAAAATATTGATTTTTTTTAAATAAAATATGTACTATGTCTGTAAAAAATGGCATATTCCCCAAAGAACTTAAAACTGGTATAGAAGCGATTCAAGGGCTCTTGAAAATTATAGTCCTATCACAGTGCATACTGCTCTCTATAAATTTTTTGAAAAATACATACGTAAAAAATGTTATCATTTTTATTTAAATTTAAAATTCTTACAGATCAACAACATGGGTTTCTTCCTGATAGGTCAACAGAAAGTGCTACTACTGCCTTTTTAAGTTTGTCCATAATCAGCTAGGGGTGCGCTCTTTTTTGATCTATCTAAAGCTTTCTCAATTATTATTGGTAAATTAAGTGCTTTAGGTTTTAGGGGTAACTTTTTGCAATGGATTAATATATATTCTTGTAAAATGTCTGTTAGAATCAATGGTTGCTTATCAGAAGTAAAGGACATGGATTGCGGTGTTCCTCAAGGATAAGTATTGGGTCCACTCATATTTCTCCTTTGCATAAACAACTTGCCTAACTTCATCTCATCTGGTCACATTTCAATATATGCTGATGATACCAATGTTGTTGTCGATGCAGAATCACCTCAAGAACTTCATTCCAAATTGTCTCTTGTTGCTAGAGAATTCACTGTATGGTGTAACAGAAATGCATTAATTGTTAACGCCTACAAACCAGTACTCATTCAGTTCCATTCTAGATCAAGAATAAGTACAGACTTTTTAATACAAATAAATAATGATTTTATCCTACTGTCCATGAACACAAAATTCTTAGAAGTTCTTATAGATGCAGATATGAGCTGGAGTTCCAATACTGACTCCATTTGAAAAAAATAGATATTAAGTACTATGTAATTCTCCGATTAAAAAATATGTTGGACACCAGACAACTTCTTCAAGTTTACTATGTGATGGCATATTCACATTTAGCTTACAACATATTGCTTTGGGGAAATGTGACAAGTATGTAAAGAGTCTTTATTTGTCAAAAAAGACTAATAAGATTTATAATAGAAGTACCTGTAGAGATCTTTTCAAAAGATATAACTTTTCCAGCAATATATATTCTCAAATGTGCTATATACGTTAACAAAAACATCTCCAAATTTACCCGTAACTCAGACAACCATAATTATAGTACATGTTTCAACCATGTTCGAAAAAAGTTCATACTACTGTGGAAAAAGGGTAATCAATTATCTACCTACCTCTCTAAAACAAATTAATAGTCTGAGCTTATTTAAATGCAAATTAAAAAGCCATTTATCCCAAAAATGCCCCTACAGTATTCATGAATTTCTCCTGTGGTTTTTGTAGTACAAGGTACAGCCTACGTCATATGGGTGTTTTCAAGCATATCAGTCCTAATTTTGATTTTGTGTATTTTAGTTAGATTTTATAACTGTTTTGTAAATGTATATTATTGTACATCTTTACATGTAAATGACTTATCCTATATCATGTATATTATTATTTTGAGATGTCAACATTTTTGTATCCAGGTAAAAATATAATTATGGTACATACACCCCATTTGTTAAGCTATTGTTCTATTTTTATTTTAGATCCCTTGCCGCTTTCGATAGACAAGTATAGAAACATAAGAGCTCTCTTTTTGTGGACAAGATGCCCAAAACGACCTACGAAGCTTGCCATATAATTAATATTGTTATTTTAAAATGGCCTTTTGTAACAACTTAGTTTAAAACTACATAATAAGGGGAAATATTGATGTCACTGGACTCGTTAATCTTTTTTCCTAGTATTTATTGACACTGCTGAGTTTTTGCTAATAATACTTTAGTTTTTACATATTTTGTTCTAATAAAACATAACGTCTATTTAAATATTATAAATAATTTGCCTAAAAATTTATTTTTTATGCTGTGACTTCAATAAAAAGCTATTGGGTTTCTGGAACTCATATTTCATGGACTATCATTTTTTCCACCCTGACCTTCATTTGTATTTTAATAAAAAATCTACTTTTATACTTTGTTAATGAACCATACAAATTAAGGTGGGGTTTAAACTATTTTTTATTTTTATTTATTTTGTTTCAAAAAACTGAAGTAATTACTTACGGGAATAAAAAATACCTGACGACTATCTTGATAATTATTACAAATAGTTATTTTTAGAAATATTTATACCACTTTCCCACTTTTGCAGACGATATTTTCTAAGAAAATATTTAAAAGATTTAAAATAATGTAACCTCACTTTTTAGTAGATCATTTTGTTCTTCTTTATTTTTTTAAACTTAATCTTAACTGGGTTAGGCATACGGCGACCAATTGATTGAGCATATTCGAATATGCAGGGCCGTCTCAAGAACTAATTATGATTAAAGATTGGAAACGGACATAAATGAGAATGGAATGGACAGGCCAAAATTATAAAAACACGAAGAAGAAAGAAAAGAATACAAGGAAGTCGTATGACAATTGGAAATAAAGAATTAAAGATGAAGAAGCAAAAAGACCAAAATAAAATTTTTATCTAAAAATCGAAGATAATTTAAGAAATCGGTTAAGTAGCAGGAAACAATGAAACCCAATTCAATGCCTCGACAGCCCCAATGTGTAGAGCGTCAGGCGGTCGTGTATCCAAACGCATTGATCTTTTAGTGGATAGAAAGAAAGAAAGAAAGAAAGAAAGAAAGAAAGAGAAGAAAGAAAGAAAGAAAGAAAGAAAGAAAGAAAGAAAGAAAGAAAGAAAGAAAGAAAGAAAGAAAGAAAGAAAGAAAGAAAGAAAGAAAGAAAGAAAGAAAGAAAGAAAGAAAGAGAAAGAAAGAAAGAAAGAAAGAAAGAAAGAAAGAAAGAAAGAAAGAAAGAAAGAAAAGAAAGAAAGAAAGAAAGAAAGAAAGAAAGAAAGAAAGAAAGAAAGAAAGAAAGAAAGAAAGAAAGAAAGAAAGAAAGAAAGAAAGAAAGAAAGAAAGAAAGAAAGAAAGAAAGAAAGAAAGAAAGAAAGAAAGAAAGAAAGAAAGAAAGAAAGAAAGAAAGAAAGAAAGAAAGAAAGAAAGAAAGAAAGAAAGAAAGAAAGAAAGAAAGAAAGAAAGAAAGAAAGAAAGAAAGAAAGAAAGAAAGAAAGAAAGAAAGAAAGAAAGAAAGAAAGAAAGAAAGGATGTTAACAAAAAGTGATGCGAATTTGTCAGTGTTTTATTTTATTTATTTTTTTGTATCGAATATATACAATACATATATGTACAGCTGCCACATTTTTTTGTAATAACTGTAGAACTATTATACAATTATACAAGTGTATCCATAAAAATGTAGCCAAAATACGTAAAGTGTTAAATTGTTATTGAAAAATTAAAGACGTTTGTGTTTAGCTACATCGTTTTATTCTCTATATTAGGCCCATTATATGCAACATTAATTAAAATTTGACCATTTTATTGAATTTTATTATTAGTTTCCAAACTAGAGTCGCATTACAATAAGAAGAACGCAGCTATACGTCATCAGTTGTTAGAATAATTCGTTGAATATCGTCGCCTACTGTGGGTTTAGCGGTTAATATTATAGGAATATAGAATTTTTTTTAAATCCAATAACCTACATATTCATTATTTATCGAGTTACTTATTGATAGTTATAGATATTATACATTTAAAATTCGAACTAAGTAGTGCCTGCACATTTTCGACGATCCAGTACCGAGATTAATTGATCCGCACTAAAAGGAAAACGTGTATTTTGAAATCGTCCTTAGCACCAAACATCATCGTGTGGCTTTCATCGAAATTTTGCTTTCTCTTTTCGGTATGGTTTTCGCTTGCAGTGTTGTTCTTCTTATCAATCAGAGCCTTGGTCCCCTCTTCCTAAATTGTTAAGTTCTCACGAGAAGATTAAATAAATGAAATTAAGGATTTGTACAATTTGATGACCAATCCAATATCTGCGTCTTTCTGTTATAGTTTTTTTTACTGAATACATTAATGCGATTCAGAATAATACTCTAAAAAACTTTTTCAAATCTGGCAATTCACTCGATTAATTCTGCTGCCTCTGCTTTCGTAATCGCCTTCTCTGAACTATCATTTGAGATCAAAGTATCGTAAATATCTTTCAAAGGATTCAATAAACCATTACAACTATCATCTCTGCATGACCCTCTTTTGGACGACAAACTTTTTGGTTTTATTTATCGTTCTTCTTCAGTTTCTTCCAATGCATCGTGGGTGCCGAAAAGAAGTTGTAGATTTCTCCGAAAATTTGCCTATTTAGAAATCCGCCGCTGTTTACGACGTAGCTGTGTTCATCTTATTGTAATCGGACCTTTTACCATGAAAGGAGAGTCTGGTTTCTAATGCTATATCCTCAGTCTAAAATTATCCTTAAAAGAAAAGTGTGAAGAAATAGGTAGGTATACATTTTATGAATGCACTATATATTATGTACAACTTTGTTAATAAAACTGTCTCATCAAATATGTATAAATTACCTATAGGTATAATGTAATTATATAATCTGATATAAATCATTTTACTATTTTACCAAAAATGATATGCAAAAAATATTATTTTAATATACACATTTACATTATTTCAATATTATATTTAAAACATTTCACAGAATATACATAGACCTTTTTTTTTTCTATTTTGCCTATTTAAACTGAAATAGTTTAAAAATATTTTAGAATTTCATTATGTATTCTATTTGTAGAGTAAAATAGTAACTGGTGAAAACAGAAATCATTTAGTTGATTTTTTTTAAAACACTTTTAGATGGTCATTCATTTCGTTTTATGCTTGTATAAATAAGAAAATTATTTCTAAGAGTAAAGTCGGCATATATTGTATACCGATTGCTTATAGAGTGATAAAGTAGAGAATTAAGTGTATGGGACAGGAATATTTCATTAATAAATAGTATCTCTAAAGAGTGACAGGTACTAAATTGAAAATAAAATCGTTAAAAAATTATATTTAAAAAGGTCATTTTTGTTCGAAAATAAAAAAAATAGGTTAATATGGAATAGTCATATGGGGTAATATTAAATATTCTAATAGACGCAAAATACTTTATGTCATACTTAAATACTTTATTATTCGATCCCCATTGTTTTAGTTTTTTTCGTCAAAGGAGTACCTAGCCATAATTTATGTACAGTAAAAATTTTAATAACTTTAAACTCAGTAGGTAATATGGTAAAGCAATAAGGCGAGAAATATAGAATATTCTATATTACCCGCTCCACGAAACATAAACAAAACTAGTGCTCTATTTGTTATTATGAAAAATGTTGAACCACATCGTCAAGATTTCCACTATCTTATGCACAAAATGTAGTCACAAAACGATTTTAACTGACGCCGTGCACTAACTTAAAAAACATGGAAATCATAGCTTCATATTTTACGACGATGGTGGAGTATAGCGCCATTTTTATTTTATGGCAGAAGCCTACAATTCTAAAGAGCGTTCTAATGCCTCTACCCTTTAAGAGATGAAACAAAAATATGGAAAATTCCATATTACCCGGCTATTCCATACAGTGTGGAACAGACAAATGGAATATATTCGGTAATTAATAAATAAACGGAGGCGTGTCTGGAAAAACGCTCGGACATGTCGATTGGTATTTTTAGTTGCGCATTTTTTTAAGAAAAACTTTTGATGCAGGGTGTGTCATGTAACAGTGGCCAATACCAACTTTCTTATTTTAAATGCAACCACTGTATATGTTTCAATTTCCATATTTGCTGCGTATATCCTAAGGGACAATTCGAGAAGCAGTTTCGCGAGATTAGACATGTAAGGCTGATAAAAATACAAACAGCTGCCAATGCAGGGGCGCCCGCAAAAGTTTTTCCAGAGGGAGGGAGGGGGGGGGTGGCACGAGGGACTGGTGCTTCCGATGTCATTTACAAAATGCAGTTTAGGGTGATATCATATGAACCCCTTTATTTGGAATCTCTCGACACGGAACGAATTTTTTTTAGTCGATTCTGTTTCATTTTCGGGGATTCCCCCGTATGAAACGGATCACTTCTTTTAGTAATGGATTAAAAACTGAACCTCAAATTCATGCAGTAGCTAACATTTTCAAAATATTTAAATATTTTATTTACCTTAGTCAATTTCAAAAATGAGGATTAAATTTGGAAAATATTGTAGGTCGAGGTTATAACGGATGTTCAACAATGACTGGACAAATCGGAGGTATTCATAAAATTATTCAGCAACAGTACCCCCCCCCCCTCAAGCTCAGTTTTTTCACTGCTCCTCCCATAAATTAAATCTTGGTATAAATGATTTAAACAGCTTAGTAGAAATACGAAATACAGTAGGCACTATTAAAGAAACAATAACATTTTTCCGAGAATCACCATTAAGGACGCAAATCAATAGAAAAATCCATGCCCTTTCTGGTCTGCAAAGTATAAAAGTATACGGCATTTCAACGAAATAATTTTAAACATTATTGACGCTTTAGATGATTTACAAAAAACATCAACCGGTAATACCAGAACACGAGCTTTTCAGCTATTTAGATTAACATCTTCATGTTTCGTTATTTCATTAAACATTATATCAAAGTATTCGGCTATGTTAGAACCAGTTGCTAATATGTTGCAAGGAATATACATTGATTTGTTTAGAGTTAAAAAATGTATAGGCGACTTTACAGAAGTTGTCAAAAAACACAGATATGTTGAGTCAGTTTTCCATTAAATATATGAAGGTGCTGTGAAAATAGCGAATGCATGTGGCTTTGAATTGACCGTTCCTGGATTGGCCGGTAAATAAACATGCCGAGCAAACTATCAAGCAAAAGTAAGTTC